GGTAGGGGACACAGTGGCCTCTGGCTTGTCTGGTAGCTGACTGGCTTCTGATACCCGCAGACAGTGTTGTCCCATCCCTGGCACAAACTGTAACTCAAAGGCAAACACAACAGAAAGCAACACAAAAACTACCACACTTCCCAACTCCTCTTGGTCTTTCTATAGTCCTCCTCTCACCCCTCAGAGGGTTTCCTCTATCCAGCAGCTTCCCTGCATGATACCCGGTACCCCCTTCCCTCCTCTAACAGATGCCCTAAGCGACCAGGGATTAACTCCCTCCAGTCCGGCCTTCCCCACGCAGGGCTCACAGGTTCCTTGAGGACAGTGTGCCTGTGGGACTCAGCCTGTCGTGTCCTAAAGCCCCAGCTTGGTTCTTCAGGGCTAAGTGCTCCTGCATCTTCCAGAGGTCCCCCCATGAGCTCCACCCACCCCCCAAGGGGTGGATCCGCCACTGCACTGCTCCCTCTCTTGTCATCCCACACACATGCATTCTCTCTTAAAAGATCCCTCCCAGCCAATCAGGAGGCTGGGATTTTTTTGCGGGGTCGCTATTGTTTGCCAGCCTCTTACTGGGACTTCCCTCTTCTAAGATGTATCCATTGAGGCAGGTTTTTATTTGCCCTTAGTCTGGAGTCCTCAGAGGTACAAAATTCACTTCTCTCTTTGGTGTCTTAGAAGCAGGGATCCTGGTTTTCTCTGATTTAGAAAAAATCCCCATTTGGGGCTTAAATTCACATTTCCCCATGATTAAAATGAAATACCACTCATACACACATATATATATGTATGAGTGGTGTTTCATTTTGATCACAGAAAAATATGGATTTTGGGTTACTTTTTTAACCTGAAAATTGGGGATTTTTTTTTTAATCAGAGAAACCCAGGATCCCTGCTTAGAAGGGACAAACCTCCACTGCCCCAAGCCCTGCTGTGTCTCGAATGGAGCACTGTGTTCCAAAGTACATGCACTGTAATGCTTGTTACATAACCAATACATGTTGTCTAGTTGTCCAATCAAAGGCCTTTCAAGAGATGGCAGTCTTGTGGGACCCCTGTGTGGCTTGGGAACACAGCTATATCCATGCTGTGCTGCCACCTTGTAAAACTGTCTTTCACACTCTTCTGTCCTCCAACCCTATGGGCAACAGTCCAGTGGTCCTTCTATCCTGAGTCACAAAGAACCTTCTGCTCCTATCTGCCACTCAGTATGGGAATGGGTGCAAAAGGCCAAGTAATTTCTATTCAAGTGGGAGTTCCAAATAAAATGAATAGACCTGGAGAGGAAAGGTGAAATGGCAGAGGGATGATATAAGAAGGGAGATGATGGCAGAAAAATGTCTATTTGTATAACTGCATAACTCCAGCAGAGAATATGCATCATCTTTTCTTGGCAGCTAACACCATTGCTCAAGTTGCCTTGAAAACAGACAGAGCATGTTATATCAGGCCTTCAGTTGCATTGTCCTCCACAATATTGAGTCCCAGTCCTCTATTATCCTCTTTTCATTAGATATGGACTACAAACTACACTGAATGAACAAGACAAAAGTGTGAATATAAAAATAAGTGCTACTGAGTTTCTTAGTTGGGGTGGTCAAAAGGGAAACTGAGCGGAGCAACCGCAGGCACTGCCATTGCAGGGGGAGCTGCAAAAAACAGTCTCTGCTGCAGCAAGCAATTGGCTGCATCACCACCACTGGCAGCATATCAGCTGGAGCTTCCCTGTGCAGAGCTGATGCCCTGCTATGCAGCTGGTGGTTGTGTATGTGTGTTTGTGTGCACGCACACACTCATGTATGCATCTGCACACTGCTACATTGAGGTTTACTTCTTGCAGAAAAGAGAAGTAAACCTCAACCCCCTGCAAATGTCCAAACTAAGAAACTACTTGAAATATCCTTCTAGTCTCCCATGCAAGATACTAAAGTTAATTCCAAATTTTTAAGCCAAAATCTTCAAATAATTTTAGATGCCTCTATTATGGGGAGGATCAGTCTGAGATACTTTCCAGGGACTGTGTATTCAGAAGGGCTAAACACCTATTTGCAGAGTACCAGGGGTCTCTACAGTGTTTCACTTTTGTAAAATTTAATTTGGTTGGTAGTTTTAAAATGGGAAGCTAATTGGAAGTGGGGAGTTTAAAAAGAGTGCTCTTAAAAGACACATTTTTTGTCAGTTTGATGCCTAAAAAACCTGCCACATTTCTAAATTTATGTTTAAGTATATTAAATTACCTCCTATACATTTAGAAACAAGAAGAACATATTCAGATTGTTACCTTTAAATATAAGACAATCATAGGAAGCTTAAATGTGTATATATGTATTATAATTGATATAGAAACAATGCAAAGATATTTAGCTTTGTACCAGCTCTGACGTGGTCATAGGAAGGTTAGAAAAGTTACACCAGCCTTCAGTTGATGTTCATCTTTTCCACAGCAAAAATTGAATCTGATCTTATGATGGGATTATTGGTTATAATATAAGGACAAATAAATTTTAAAATGGAACCACTTGGGAGCTATATATTTCTAGTTTATGTTCCTAGTAGCCTGATAGACTTGTTGTATTGAATGTACAATGGTGTACAGTAGTGTAACTGCAAGGGTGAGGAAGTGTGATGGGGGCAACTGGTCAAGATGCCAAACTTGGGGGGGTGGTAGGAAGAGTCTGCTGCTGGCAGCCACCTCTTTGTGTTTGCAACCATGACACTAACTGGAATTTGCCCCTCCTCTTTGTTCCAAACACCGAGGTGCACCCCTACATAGCTATCTATTTATCTTACATTTATATGTATGTATGTTTGTGTGTGTGCATGTATGTGTATGTGTATATATACACACACGCACATACAAATACATATGTGTGTATGAATATATATGTATATGCATATCTGTAATAACACTGTTATATTGTTCAGAAAGGGGTTCTAATTCCTTTTAAATCCTTCAAAAGTAATCTACTTAATACTACACTTTTTAGACAGCATTTTGGTATTGTACATTTTCTCACTTCTGCAATCATTCTGTTTAGGGCTTGTATGAGATTAGTCCCTCTGTGACCACAACATGACTAACACAACCCACATATAACAGAAAGAATCAACTTCAATATTTTGAGGGAAACACCTTCCTTGTGTTTTGAACCATACTTTTAATAGTACCAAAACATATATCCAGATATTTCTGAGGAAAGAATTTCTACTTGGCAAAGTGTTTTAAGATTTTTAGAACTTAACCTTTGTTTTCAAACAAATTCTCGCTCCTCCAGCCCTCCCACACACACACATTTACCCCCAAATTCTAACTTTTCCACAAAGTTACATTTCAATAAAAATACTTTTGCATTGCTCAAAATATTTCATTTTGATATCATTTATTGTATACTATATTTTATATAAATGTATTCTACAAAAAAAATTACAATTTTTAAACAAAAAGTAAAAAAATCAACATGGCTCTTTCCAAAACTATTCAGACATTTGAATTTTATTGGAAATATTTTGTGCAGTAGTACTAACCATAATTGTAGATTCTGATCTTAGCTTACTACTCTATTGATCTGAAATATTATTGGGCTCAGTTTTCAATTGGTGTAAATCTATGCCATTTTTCATGAACTGAGGAGCTAGTCCAACAAATTAATGCAATGCTAGGGATGAATTTAAGTTTAGGTGTTTGACTATAATATTTGTTTTTAATAAGCATGTAAATTAAGTGGTACAGGAAGACCAACAAAATAGCCTGGATGATTCAAGTATTTTCACATTGTCTAATTAAGTGAGATTAGAAAGCAAAAAAAAAAAATTCTATATTTTAACTAAAGCTGAGGCACATTATGATAATAGAAGACTGATAAATGCAAGAGAGCAGAAAGTAATTAGTAAATTCTGCAATTGCTGAATATATTAAAAGAAGACTTACAATATTATACAAAGAAGAGACCCTCCAGCAAATCAAAATACCATTAATAGGGAATTATCCCATTTCTGTACAATAACTTGTCTACTTATACAAACAGAAAACTTTGAGGACATGAGAATCACTAGTTTCCAAGTTCTTGATCTTGCAGCAAGGTCTACAAGCAAAGTCTGCTGCACAGCATCACACTATATAAACTTCAAGTGTTGCCTGTCTAGAACTCACTGCAAGATCATGACCCAGTAAGATACTCTGCATCCTAAACATAATATTCTTTGGAACAGATTCTGGGTTTTTTTGCACTCTGGGTGCAATGCAAATACTTTAATCGACAGTGGGAGCTCCTGAAAGCATTGTACCTATAGCAAGCCCAATGGCTCAAACAAATGTTGTATTTATCCTAGAATAAATCATTTTAGCCCAGGACAAAGCCCACATCCATTGGCCTGGGATAAATAAAAAAAAGTGTCCCAAAATAAGAGGTAGTAACAGTTTATCTTGGGATATTGCAAAGTACATCTGTACAGTTATCTTGAGATGGAATCAATGGCAGAAAAGCACTGCATTCACTGCTCACTAAACCCTAATTAGTAGGGTGATGTGTGTACATGTCAATCAAGGAATATTTTTGTTTTGTACAAGTCCAGAAACTACTTATCCAGGGACAAATGCAACAGCTGTTCCTAGCCACTGATTTTTAGGGCGTGTTCAGACAAGTGTGGATGTGTAGTATGCAGTGCTGCAGTGCCATATACCGCATGTGCCGCACATGCAGGCACTCCCTGTGCTGCTACTTTGCAGTGTGGGGGGAGGAGGAAGTTTGACCCCAGGAGATCCTGGGGTCACAATACATGTGCATGTGGCAGCAGCGTGTGCTGCCCAGAACTGGAGCCTGGCTGACCAGAGCCACACTCCAGTTGTCAGGCAGGCTCCATGTTGCAGGACTGACACAACTGCAGCTCCCGGAGGCCCCTGGACCCCAGGTAAGGCTGCTAGGGTCAGCAGAGTTGCTGGCCCTAGCCTCCCCTACCCCACCCAGGGTAATGTGCTGCATGCCAGAGCATGTATGGCATGGGAGTTCCCCAGAGACAAGTAGCAGTGGCACACCTTGTGCTGCTGCTGTCTGTCCCCAGGGAAACGCACATTCCCATTCATGGGGATACACCCCTGGAGTGAAATGTGAGCTGCTTGTATACCCTTTAAAAGGGGGTTAGCAGATGATGGGGTAAGGACAAGTCATTAGTAGCTTTACCTCTTGTGGAGCCATACTAAAGCACTCCATTCTTGCTCTGGAGGCTACACGCTGAAACAGATGTGATATAGCTGCCTTAGTAAATGCCATAGATGCATGGCATTAAGCTCTCCAAGATGTCCAGCATTAAACCAAGGGACCCACATTATATCTGCTTTGGGGTGTAATGCGCATGACATGCTTTACTGTGGAACTCCCTAGTAAGCTTCTTTGATGGTGCAGATATGCCCTTCCTGTCCATTTGGATGGGCCAGTCTGGTACCTGCACCACCTGTATGAAATCCATGTATTCTCTAAGTGCTAGGACCAGAAGCACGTCCAACCTCTGTAGGTATGCACCATGGGTGAAGGAGACTCCTTCAATATTCCTGTCCACATCATGAAGCAGGAACTCAATTTAGCCTACAGGGGCCCAACTAAAACCAGAAACTAAGCATGCCTAAATATATGACTATAATGCCCTTAGCTTTATCAATAAGCCTGCATCGTTCGTTTTGAAGCACTGGGAAAGTTCAGATTCAGATCAAAATTACAGCTTAACCTTTCCTACTAAACAAACCTAACATGTAATGGTATTCAATTGCCTCTTTAAACTTATCAGGATCCTCTGTACTTTATGTTCTTTCCGAGCAAGCAGTTTCATAACATGACATACATGTCTTCATTCATTAAAAACTTAAAACTCTCCAAAGAAACCATATCACTGGATGTTGGTGGTAGGCAGGTGTTTTGAACAGAATTTAGATAATCTCTTTCATGCATGTTTGGCAACTCACAAAGCCTTTGTTTAGCTTCCCCTTTAACATCCTTCTTTTTCTCTTGCACTCTTTCCTCCTCAATGATGCACTCTTGCTCTTCACATTCCATCTTTGCTTGGACCATTGCATTCTCCGTTTTGTCAAACCATTCCTGGAAGAATGCAATGTTGATGTTAACACATTCTCTAATTTTGCTAAAAATAAACACTGACCCTGACTATTCCTTTAGTCATGGCTTTTTCCTAGGACCAATCACACTGGGGAAGTTGGTAAGAAGCCAATAGAAAACAGGAAATAAAAAATAAAACAAAAAACACACACATTAAGAAAGTGTCTAGAAGATTACCAGAGGGCACCCTCAATGCTATATGTGTTATTATCTAGCATTTTCAGGGAATATTGTTTTCAAGGGAACTTAACTACATGAAAATACCTTTTCCTGTTTTTCCTTAGGATTTTGAAGGGCTTTAAGCCAAGTCAAGACCTAATGAAAATGTCGGGTAAAGTATCATATAAATAGTAACTGAGATGAATGTTGTAGAACCAAGAAATGTTCAAAGACTATCGCATTCATTTTATAAATGTTATATGTATTTCCATAGGTTTGTAAGTAACTGTATTCCTCACTTAAGGATTAAGAAAAGAGGCATCTTCAGAAAATAAATACAATGCAGGATAATTCATGCAAATCTCCAATGCTGAAACTTTGATATCAAGGTAGTGGGCAGATTCATAAGAATACAAGTACCAAGTTTTCTCCCTGTAAACAACATATATTCCAACAGAGAAGCACAACGCTGTTTTTCTCACAGGCTAGTCTCTTTTGATATGAGGATTTATTGTTTTCTTAGCAAAATGTATGTTAAAGGACTGGAGGCTTTAATGGATGTTGACAGTGTTATGTCAGAGAGCCTTAACAAATGTGGTGGCTAGAGAGGCTGGAGATCTGGAAAGAGTGATTTGGTGCACAGTGATTTGATGTGGCTGCTACTGAGCTGCATTTCATGACTAATGTTGCTTCATTCTTATCTTGAACTGCCCTTATCTTTTCCCATATGATATGTATTGCCTTCAATTGCAAGCTTCTTCAGACAGTTCCTGACAGTTTGAATAGGGCTAAGTATTGTTGGTCTTTGATCAGGGCCCTTGGGTGTTAACATACAGTGAAAATAATCATATTTCTTCTGTAAGACCAGATGGTCAAGAAGTGGAGAGAGAAATGGTGCTTTTGGATCAGAGGTTACTTTAAACCTCCACAGACACCACAGAAATAGGTAGCATATTTTTTCAAATGATTACGTGGTTGAACAGCTGTGTTTGAATTAAAATTGGCCAGAAAGGTCAAGGATGTTTTACCTGTAAATTTCCATTGTGATCAGTGAAGAGGTCAGTAAATATATATTTTGGATCTGGTATCACTGGCATGATTGACTTCTGAAATCTGTAAAGAGAAAAAGCTTTACTAAATGTTCCATCCATTGAGAGGAAGATGACTTACTCCAAAAATGAACTTTGTTTAGAAAGACAATTCATACTGCAGCACTATAGTATAAAAAGCGTCTTTTATCTTTGATGAATCGTATTCAGTATCATTGTTTTTAAGAGCATTCACCCTAAAATCTGTGTACAAGCTTCTCTCCTGTGAATGAATTCTGCAGTGTGCAACAGAGTGGTGGATACCATCATCTTAGAACAGTGTTTCTCAACCTTTTTTTGTACTAGGACCCATTTGTAAACATTGCTGCCTAGTCCTGACCCAAGTAAATAGTTTAAGTAGAAAACAGCCCCTTGACTTTGCTGGTGCCCTTCACTCCTGACCTCTGCCACCTGCCTCCAGGCCCCAGCCTCCAAGCATGTGGTATGGGGGTGGTGTGGGGCAGGAGGGGCCCCAAGCAGCCTCTTGCAGAACTTTTCCAGCCTGCAATGGAAAACCCATGTTCCCTACATTTTTCTCCTTTAAAAGAGAATTCATTTTTAACGTTTGTTTGTGACCCTTTCATATATTCTTGCCACTCACTTTTGGGTTGCAACCCTCAGGTTGAGAAATGCTGGCTTACGACTGATTTCTGGCATGTTTATCCAAGACACGTCACAACAAAATGCATTATATACCAGAGTTTCCTCTAAACTCTGAAAAATTGTCCCCCAAGGGATGAAATACTAGCCGGAAATTACCACATCACGGCACAGTATGGCTATTCTGGTGTGCAGGAAGCAGCCTTATATTGGCTTTGTGCTTGTTACAAAACTTAGGCCCTTTTCTGTTCTTCAGACTGGTGAAAACCTGGGTGTGTAACGTGAGTTGGGATTATAGTAACACATATCTTCACCTGTGGTATTGTAGCATGCGTTTTTCAAAAGAAAAACAACTAATTCTCTTGTTTTTTTCAGTTTTTATTGTAGATAAAATGATGTGTGAAGCTATCAGGCCAAAAATCTTGCTGATATCTTGTATTTGCTGACTGTGCTTATCAGTCTACTTTAGCCTAATGCAACAATGATTATTGGTTCTTTGATCACATCCAGTTTCTGAAAATGGCACTTGAAAGTGTGACGGGCTTGCTGGGCTTTGCCCAGCTCTCTGGGCTTAGGAGACCGCGAATGTGTTGGTGGGGCAAAACCCACCAATCAGAGATGGGCAGGGGAAGAGCCAGGAGGAGAGTCTGCTCCCCCTCTACTCCAAAGTGGGGCAGTAGTGGACTTAATTAGGAACTGCAGTTGCAGCCCCCCTAATTGGTTCATTTTCAATCTGGGGCAGAGCCCCAGCAGGGGATATAAGTAGCTGTGTGCCAAGTACAAGGCACAGTCAGTGAGGGATAAAGAAGAAGGAAGGGTTGTGGAGCCAAGAAAAGCTGGAAGAGCTTCCCAGCAGGCATATCCAGCTGCCCAGAAGAGCCTGAAAGATTCTGCCACCGGACAGAAGCAGTAGGCGGTGCAGGCATTGCTGTACAGAGGGTCCACAAGGGACTGGGACCCTGTGAGCCGCAGCAAGGCAGCTTGGGTCTCCAACCCTGGCACAAGGCCAGGCTGTGGTGCAGGTGTCACTGCATGGAGGGTCTGCAAAGGACCAAGACCCTGGGAGCCACAGTGAGGCAGCTTGGGTTTCCAACCCCAGCATGAGGCCAGGCTGCAATGCAGGTGTTGCTGCATGGAGGGTCCACAAGGGACTGAGATCCTGGGAGCCACAGTGAGGCAGCTCGGGTCTCCAATCACATCATGAGGCTGGGCACGGGAGCCAGCACTACTGGCCTGGAGATGGAGGAGCCAGGTGGTCTGGGACCCATTCCCTGCAGTGGGTCCACAAGGGCCCCAGGAATGGAGTGGTTCCCAAGCACAGGGAGCAGCATTCAGAGTGGTGCAGCCCTGGGTATACACGAGGCAGCCCAGGCCTGCAACTCCCCCTGAGAAGGATTGGGCCACTGGGATGCGTGAGCGAGTCACGCGACTCCCCTGAGGCCTGGACTAAGCCCTCCCTGGAGAAACTTTTGCCAGGCCAGGGAGCTTATGACCACTGTCCCACCCGGCTCCTTGGGACACATGGGTTAGTGGGGAAATGAGTGTCCCACTGGGGAAGAGGCAGGAGGAAGAGATCCCCTAGAGGAGGGGAACCACTAGAGAACTGTATCTTGTATTGTAGAGTGTTTACTGATTATTTGATAGACATTGTGCATTTTGGAGTGTTTATTAACTGTTAACTGTATGCTTGATATTTTGAAGTGCCATTTATTGTTGTACTTGTTCATATTGTTAGGAACTATTATGCTTACCTGTTTATATTTAGGTGCGTATATAATTATAATCATATGTATTTATAACCTGCAAATATTCGCTTTAGTTCACTACCTTTTTATAAACATATGTTAAACGTATACCTGTTTAAAACATTGCTTTCTGTTCCTCCTCTATTAAGACATGATAAGTAGGAGGGAGCTACACTTAAATCACAGTTTCCACCCCAGCACATGTACCCTGCTGGCTTTCCCCTTCTATTGGTGAGGGGGAAGACTCACTTCGGGGACACCCAGGTTACAAAAGTGACACAAAGAAGTAAAGATTGGTTTTGAAGCAAGGCGGAAAGGCATTGGCTTTTTAATGGTTTAAAAAGTGCAAATCCAAGGCTAGGTGGGCCTTTTAAGACTATAAAGGTCTCTCAGCACTACCACAATCATTCTGTTTATACTTGTAAACGAAAATAAACCACTTGGAGAAGTAATTTCATGGCACAGCAGCCCTTAAAGCCCTACTTAAATTGTTGACTACCCAATTTTCTGTAGTCACAAAATCTGACTTCCTTGTCACATATGTATTTGAATGCTAAATACTTTGATCCTGACATCAGCTGCAGCATTTATTACATTGTGTTGTATTGTGTTGCATTGTCTTCCATTGTGTTTCATTACATTAATGAAAATATTTATGACCAGCAAATGTATGCTTACCTTTGCCATTTGCACAGAAAAATCAGGAGGATGAATATTATGAGAAAGATCACCAGAAAAAATATTAAGAGGATTATGGCATCTGACAAACGTTTTATATCATCAGCACATGAACCTAGGAATAATCACAGAAATACTTGTTGAAAAAAACTTTCTTATCAATTTAAGAAGCAAACGTTCTATACAATAGCGATGTTAAGGAAGTGAGAAGAACAGTTTAAACAGAAAGTGAAAATCACTATTCCTTAAACTATGCAGTAACATGCTATACTTTTTTGCTATCCATCATAATTGACCTTTTAATTGACCTGGGGAGAAGGTGGGGCTTGAATTATGAGCAGAAATCCTGGTTTTCTACACACACACACAGACACATACACACATGTATGCATGTATGTATGTATTACTGGTGTTTCATTTTAATCACAGAAAAATGTGGATTTTAGGTTACCTTTTTAACCCCAAAACTGGGGATTTTTTGTTTTATCAAAGAAAACCAGGATCCCTGATTATGAGAATTTATACTGATTAATCTGAGACCAAAAGAAGAAATGGCACTTTTAGGGTAAGTGCTGTTTAGGTGTCTTTTAAGTGCCAAAGTCACTAATCAGTATCCTATTTAACCTCCATGAAACATTTTAAATTCCATTCAGGCTCTTAATTTCCATTGGTTTTGTGTAAGTACCCAGCACCTCTGCCTAGTTTAAAAAGCTCTCTGCAGTCCCTTGTGCACCAACTTATCCTTCCAAGTGTGCTCAAAAGGGTCTGTAAGATGGCCACCAAAGCATTTAACATCACTTCCATGCCTTTCTCATCCAGCTGCTCTGGGAAAAGTGCAAATTCTACACAAGTCTTTGATTGCATGAGCAGGAAAAGGGCAAATGAAATGGCTGGCTGACACCAAATACTGCATGTGAAAGGCAAGGAGTAGAGGTATTGCCTTCTTGTTCACTACCCTAGTAATTAATAATTTGCCCAGAAAGCAAGAGATCTAGATTTTAGGTCCTCTAACTCAGAGAGGCTTGAAATACACTCACATATCTCTCTTCCCAGTACAATGCCTTAACTACCAGGCCACTGTATGGTGCCATAGGATTTGAGTTGTGGGGCTCAATGAGAGACTTAATCTCTTTAGAGGTGTAATAGTCAGGGTTTGAATTATGGGGGAGCTTGGGGGGGCTGAGCCCCGCAATAAGAGATGAGCCCCCCTGTAAAATTTGAAAATCATAACCTGGGGAGAGCTTCAATTTTATTAGGGCATTGTAATTGGCAGCCTATTTTTTTTGTAGCCCCCCCTCCCCGGCCCCCCCAAGAGTCAAATTGTAATTTGAACCCTGGTAACAGTATTAGTTCACTTGAGGGACAACCCTAAGTTTGAGGTAAGCATCAAGCTAGATTAGAGGCACTTTAGAGGATTTGGGCAAACACCAGGAAATCAGTGGGAATGTCCTATAATATAATGTTGTCTGGCTTTGAGCCCTCTACTTCGACGAAGACATAGGGTCTTGCTAGAGGTGAAGTTCCTGATGTGTGTACAAATAACAGTTGTCACTGAAAGTTCCTGTTTCTCATTTTCTTGGCAAGAAGTGGGGGTTGGGGTGGGTAGTGGGATGCTCCTGACAGATCTAGCCAGATACTTGGTTTGCTACAGTTTATGCCCCAAAAGGGTTGCACGTTGAGACAACCTAGACAGCAAGTACTGGTGCAGAAGGCTCTTCCTCTGTGCTCTAACCTACTAAAACATAACACTGGTAAGCTGTAAGTGGTACAGACTGCTTGTTATTTTGTAGATGGAACATGAAATGTTGATTTTAACTTATATTTTCTCAAATGTGATATGATTACTTGGGAGAAATCCTCTCTAGCTATACGGACCACTACAGCTCTCTCTAATGAAAATTCTGGTGGGATGTTTTCCATGAAGTTTAAGGGATTAAGCTTCTAACTCTCTAAACATAACTTGGATTTAACCTTCTAAATATGGTGAGTAAAACCCATCTGCTTTCTCAGACTTTGGAGAATGGTTCCTAAGCATTAAATGCTTTCAAACTTAATTGCTGATGGTTATCTCAATCTTAGTTTGATTACAGGTTCTTGAGAAATTCTCTTCTATTTTAATCTATCACGATCTTTTACTATTACCCAAATGATTATGGTAAATATATTCACTCTTATGAAAGTTTCCAGAGTTATGGATTGGTATTTGTCACTAATAACTCAACATGCATAATTAACTTATGTTATGTATTATATGTATTATATTATTATGCTTTATATGCTGCCCCCCAACAAAGCTCAAAATGGCATATATAGCTTATAATAGAGCTTACACTAAAAAACAGATAAATCACAAAGACAGAATAAAAAATATTTAAATAAAATATGTAAATAAAATGCCTGCCCAAGTAATAAGATCTTACAGTATGTCCAGAGTGTGTCAGTGTGCCTCAGACAATATTAATAAACACTATAGAGTAGAAGCATCACATATCTAAGAGTTTGCAAGCAAGAAGTCAAAGCTGTAAAAGAAAAGACAAAGTGGTATCTCAACTGAAACATTATAACATACAGCGGGCAGGGCTATGAGAGCTCAGAGACAGACACAGCATCTTTTACATGACTGAAAAATTGTATTTAAGAGCATTTTGTAAATCTGTGGGCTTGTCTACATGAGACATTTACTGTGGAGTTGCCTAATTAGCACCTAATCAGCATCTGTGTGAATAGTCCTATTAGGCCACAGGAAACTAATAAAATCTTCAGCAGGTTAGTACTTGTAAATATGATTAATATCTTGCTGCAGAGTTTTTTTGTGTGTGCAGCAATGCATGTGCAAATGCTGACCTGGCTGGCTGGGGTATGAGAGTGCTTCAGTGTGGAGGCTGCCTACTAGCTAGCCCCACACTGAAATACCTTTGTGCCCCATCCCCCCCTGCAGCACGGTGCAGCACGCAGCCCCTCTGCAGCACGCGGCTGCTCTGCAGCATGGTGAGCCAGGTTGGAGCAGCCCTGAGCTGGCAGACTAACCCCCTGGGCTTTCTGCCAGCTGCAGCTACTTTGACCCGGCAAAACGTGCTGCAGTCCTGGGTCCACATGGAAAGGTAGCGCCTGGGAGCAATAAACTCTGTGCTGGAGTTTATTGCTTTGCATTAATATGTGCATGCAGATGTACCCAGAATTTTGTAAATTAGCACAAACCAGTTTGGCTATCATTATAAAATCAGAATGACTAGCATTCTAGAATAGTGACCAGCTTCCCCAGTTATGTCTGTCATAACCTTGTAACACAGTGAGAAGAGCATTGTCATTTACAATAGCGTAATTAAGAGGGTTGGGGTGGGAGAGTGACTGGGACATCAGCACCAGGCACTGACCTGCTGAACTGCCAGCATTATTGCTACTGCATTGGCAGCAGTGCAGTCACCAGTGCTGCACCTCATGCAGCTGCCGCCCAGGGTGCTCAAATGTCCTGTTAAAGCTCTGTTCATTTGGGATCACAGAATGTTACTGTAATAAACTTTTAAAAAATCTTTCAAAATGTATTTTTCATGGGCCAAGCATATGCTTGTAGGAGACACTTAGGAAAATACAGAGTAGAGCATAAGTTATTTTAGTATACCACTTTACAATGAATCCCCCCGCCTTACTTCCTCAGTTAACTATTTCAACTGAAAATATGAAATGTAGCAAGACTTTACCTAACATTTTACCATTACTCCAAAATGTTACAGCTCCCCATTCACTGGCATAATGAACTACATTGCAGGTGGGATATAGCCTTTCCAGTCTGACCCGGAAGGAGTAGCACTTCTCTGGATCAAATCCTTGATCTTCAAGACTACAACACGGAGATTTTCTAGACTTCAGAGGAAGATATGTGATAATTAATTATGGCTGCCAGTATATTTTTATCTTTGAGCAGTGATTCTCAAATGAGGTGCACAAGATCTTTTTAAGATGCTACTTAATACTAGCATGGTTAGGTGTACCAAAATCCCAGTACCTCATGTTTCATATAGGAAGCCATAAGATGTGACACTATATCACCCGTAGCCACGCACTACAGTGACATAACATCCCTCAGTGTCTACACATGACCAGCAGCTACTTCACGATAGCAGCGCACTCTCCCATTATAGTGTGCTGCTACGGCAAAGTAGCTGCTAAAAATAAACTGTGCGTATGGTGCAGTAACAATGTCACCATCAGGCAACATGTAGATGCACCCAGTGTCAAAAAATGTTCTGACCTGTTTTGGTCTTTCTGAGTTCTTTCTGGCAGAAGAACTGCTCTGTTATTTTTCCATAGTCAAAAGATTATTTAAATTAGTTTTTTAAATGGGGTGTTATTAAACTGAGGAAAATTACAGCAGAGTACCTTGAGTCTAAAAATACTGAGAACTACTGCCTTTGAGTATTGCACTATGCCATTGCCATAGCAAAAGTAACACACAATACCATTGTCCTGCTCTTCCCTTTAATTTTGGGGAAATCTGGCTATTGGATGAATCTTCTTAGTTCAGACCAATAGAATACTGAATAATTTTGTAGGTAGGACTGTTTCATGTGACATACGTATGTAACAATTTTTAACTGCAGTTAGCAATAAACACAATTACTTTTGATATAAAAAGTTCATGCAAGTGATGTATGAATCCAGGAAGAAACAATTCAATTAAATAACATGAAGACTTGGTAAATATTTAGATAAATCAAATGTCTGGAGTACTGCTTTATTTCTTCCTTCACGTATCTTATTTCTTGCGTCTCTTCTTTTCCTCTCCTATTTTTAATTTTCTCCTTTCCATGTGTAGCTTCCCTCCTCTGAATGTTCAGCCTTTTTTCCTTATCTCTTTTCCTGTCTTGGGTGTATGCAGTCAATTCTGTCCCACTGGCACCATGACCATTCTCTGAAATGCTGACCTGCACCACACAATGGAGCTTGAGGATTCTAGCTAATTATACTCTCTGTCAAGTGTGTTTATGGCATGGGATGGATCTGTTGAACAAAACAATGCTTCTTTTTCTTTAGAGGTGCTTCTCCCATCACTCACCTATGCCAAATGAGAATTGTAGATTTTACCCACCTGCCACTCCATATCAAACTTGCTTCTGTATTGAAATTCAAGCTTCAAGCACCGCTTTAGCGTCTTTGGTTTGCTACAGGTGACAGTAACTCTATCGTCTTTCCAAAGGAAGGTTACATTTTCAGGTGGACTAGGTTTTACTGAAAAAAAAAGCAGATATAAATTACATAATGGTCTCTCCAAATGAGTCACTGTATCCCAGTTCAGATTCTTGCCCTTCTCCCTCAGTCTTCCTTGAAAACTTTGTTCTTTCATTCATTCCTGGACAAGGAATCATTAGTATAAGTAGTTTTAAGAAAAAGAGAGGTAGCATTTGATGAGAGGGGAACTTAGTTTTCTCTTATTTAAAAAAATCCCCAGTTTTCAGTTCAAAAGTAACCCGAAATCTACATTTTTCTGTCATTTAAATGAAGTGCCACTAATATACAGATATATATTAATGGTGTTTCATTTTAATCACAGGAAAATGTGGATTTGGAGTTATTTTTTTTAACTGAAAATTGGGGATTTTTTTTTAACAAGTGAAAAACAGGATCCCTGTTGGTGAGGTAGGCTGTAGTCTATGAAAATTCATGCCTATTTGAATAAGTTTTGGGGGTCTTTAAGAGAAGGCTGGATAGGCATCTGGCTGGGGTCACCTGATTCCAGCACTCTTTCCTGCCTAGGCAGGGGGTCAGACTTGATGATCTGTTGAGGTCCCTTCTGGCGCTAGCGTCTATAAAACTATGAATAAGTTAGTCTATAAGGACCACCCTGCCCTGCCTTATTTATAAGTCAGCTGAAGTTATTTTTATTTTTTCTACATAAATATGTAGGCATGTGTATATATATATAAATGCATCAGTTAATACATGAAAGAAGATCATAAACTCACTAAAAAAATCAGTTTGTATTTTTTTGTGGAAAAGTTCTTCGCTTCCATTCTTATCCTTAATAGACATGGCAAGGGATCGCTTCTCTGTCTTAAACAGACATCCATCATTGTAACCTTGGTCCAGTAAATAGCTGGGGCATTGCTTCCAAGGGTCTTTGTCATATCTATAAGTAACAAAAGAAAATTAATGTAACTGTTGCTAAAATGAATTTATTCCTTTTTGACATTTTAACTTTTTAAAATGTTTCTCCCAAATGCTATCTGCATGGAAGAACTTTTAATTATGGCTGCGATTTTTCTGCCAGCATCCAAATCTCAAATCCTCTCACATTTTGAGATTATCATTTTTTTCATATTGCCTCTCCTATCAAGGAAAGTATGTACTCAAACAGATATGTTATATCTTCATTTTTTTCTTCAAGATGCTTTTTCCAGCTCTCTACACCTAAACATGTTATCTCATATAACCAAAGAGAATTGAAGGAACTTTATCTTGGTCAATTTATCATTCAGCCAATGCAGTTATATATGTTACATTTACACTTACCAGTATAACATCAACTGTTTACTTTATAGCTTATAAGGAAAAGGGGGCTAAAGCTAGACGTATGCAAACTTAATCTTGTAATGCTGTCTTGAAATTAATATGAGGGGGAAAAAGTACAGGTGTCATCATCTAAGGGGTTCATGTGTTATTAAGTATTCAGTTGATTTGTGGAAATGAACGTAGACTATGGAGGAAACATGAAAAATTTTATGTATTGGGTGAATCAAATCAAATTTGCATGGCTGTTGGTTGTAGCCATGTTGTTCTAAGGAAAACTGGTGTAGCCTATACTGAAAATTGAAAGTGATATTTAATTTGAGGCAGGCAAGCTTCTCTGGGTAGATGTGATATCATTTATTAGACAAACTAAATAGGTGGAAAATGTTCTCTGCCAGCTTTTGGGCACAAACATCCTTCTTCAGGCATTGGGAGGCTCTGCTGTTGTTCCGAGTTTAACAAGGTAGAAAAGAGCTAAAAGTTTAACAAATCTGTGAAAATGTAAATAGATGGAAATTTGGAAGACAATGGATAGAGATGGCAGGGGGGAATGCGTGAAGGAATCAAATGGTAAGCTTCAGTTCTAATCCTCAGAGGAAACTTACAAAACACCTTTAGTAGAAGAGCCTAGGAACTTCACTTCATAAATCTACTAGATACAAAAAATCATGGACTTAATATAGACATTGGATTTATAACACATTATAACCTGCCTGAGATGTGATTCACCAGGTACCTGCTTGAAACTTACCATTTGCATTCCTTCACACATTTCCCCCTCACCTTCCCCAACCTCCCCTCCTATCTCCATTCACTGTCTTCCAAACATCCACCTTTTTACATTTTCACAGACTTCTTGTCACACTTTTAACTTCTTTTCTCCCTTGGAGAACTCAACACAATAGCCAAGTCTCCCAATGTCTGAAAAAGGGTTTGTGCCCAAACGCTTGTAAAATAACTTTTTTCCAAACTATTTACCTGGTTTAATAAAAGATATCCCATCTACCCAAAGAACCTTGCCTGCCTCAAATTAAATATCACTTTCAATTTTCAGTATAGGCTACACCAGGGGTAGGCACGAGTACCAGAGTGTAGCACACAAAGATATTTTGCTTGGCATGTATGCCTCAGTGTGGATGGCAGGGAAGAGGGCTCTACAACAAGGACTGGGCCCTTTGTGGCTCCGCTGGTCCACCAACATCTTACAAGTCGAGGTTGTGGATGTTTTTAGCAGTCTGCCTAAAAAACACAGCTGAACTCTGGGCTACACCCATCTTAGACTGCCTAGCATGTCTCAAAATTACCAAGAAAATATTTATACAGAAGGAAAATAATATCTATTAGTACTTACTGATAGAGGAAAGTCACATTCTTGCCAGGAAAATTTTCAATAGCGGCCCATGTCATCTGTATCCATTCATTATCAAAATTGACTACTGTAACATTGACAGAGACTTCCAGACCTGTCTCATTGAAAAGAAAAAAAAAAGATCATTTTCAACATCAGAAATCAAATGCCTGACCAAAGACCAGGGGTGGGCAAAATGGCAGATCCACCCAGCAGCTGGACTCCATTTCCCAGCAGCCCCTGCCCGTGTGGCTGGGGCCAGTTTCCATGGAGACTCCAGCAGCAGCCAAGATGTGATAGCATGGGGCCAGGGTTTCCATGGAGACTGGCCCCAGCAATATTGGCAGGGCATACTGCAGGGTGAGAACCTGCTCTGGGGTCAGGCTGGGATCTTGCAGCAGAGACAGAGTGGTCCAGAGCTGGGGCAGAGCCACACTCTGCAGTCAACATGCTCCAGGCAGGGCTGTGCAGGCGGTGGATCACAGCTCTACCCTGGTTCCAGACCCTGCTGCCACCACTGCAAAGATCTAGGGCAGAACTGCGACACACTGCCTACATGCCCCTGCCCAGAGCATGCAGGCTGCAGATCAAGGCTCTTCTCTGGCTTTGGGTCATGCTGTCACCGCTGAAAGATCCCAGCCTGGCCCTGGAGCAGCTTCCCACTCTGCCCTGCACCCTGCCAAAGCTGCTACATCTGGTCTCCATGGAAACCCCGATCCTGCACTATCATAGCGTGGCTGATGCTGGGGTCTCCATGCTGGCAGAGGCTGCTGGGAAATGGAGTTCACTGCTGGCCAGATCCAGCCTGCAGGCTGGATTTTTCCTGCCCCTGCCATAGACCCTTATTAAGAGATTGTGTGTTCCATTTTAATTACAATTCGGAGCTGACAAAATGTCAAGAATGGTAAAAGCAGGAATACAGCATAAAAGGACCTAGAGAAGTCAGGAATGTGCGTAGCCCATAAAAAAGGACACTGAGTTTGGACACCAAAAAAGGAATTAAATGAATGAAGAAAGGAATAGAAATGAAAAGCATAGCACCCATAGAAACAGGAGCTGAACCAAAGAGCTACAAGTTCTATACCACTTGGTGAATTGTAGTGAATCTCATTAGTATTTACTAAATTTAAGGATATACTTATTTTACACAAGCATTCTAAGTCATTTAAAGTATTCTAACCTTTGTTCAAAAAAATCAAAGGCACATATTAGATTACAACCCACAACACAGAAAGAGGTTAATAAAGAAACATGCCTCTCATAATATCTTCTATGAAGAGGTGAAGGTGATGATTTGGAGGCCATTCCTGCCTTAGAAGCTACAGTCTTCATATCACAATTCTAGTACAAGATGATTTGTAATAGTTAAGGTCTACAGAACTTGAGGTAGTTGGTGGCCAGTTGCCCCCCATGCCTCTGATTGGCCAAGGGGCCCTAATAGTCCCACCCCTTCCTGCATATTACCAGATGGCTCCAAACCACCGCTTGCTTAATAACACGTAAGTTACTGGCTTCCACAGGCTTAATCAGGGTCCATGGAAGCCATTAATTAATGTATCATTAAGCAGTCTAATCACTTAATTAAGGTCTAAAATGAAATATCTTATTAAAATAAAGCAATACACACCATGAATTGCACCAACTATGTACAATTTATTATCTAATACCAACTACATATACTTTATTAAATAATACCAGCTATGTACACTTTATTAACTAATACCACCTAAGCACAAGCTCCCTCATTCCCATAGAATGCCCTCAGGAACAACTCTGAACTCTTTGAGTCTGGAGACTTTGGATGTATGAAGCCAACTGGGTTTCTCTAGATTATCTCCAAAAAGGGAAGAAATGCTGGGTGAAAAAATGAGGGTCATATCTTGTCAACTCCATATTTGTGGAGTCCATATTTGTCAATTCCCCTCAACACTTAGACAAAACTCAGAAGGCCATACAGAATATCTGTCTCTTTATTCATTTTCATGTTACTGTCAATGTGGTTGGAAAGGAGGATGCAGGGCCATAAGTTTGTGACTCTTCCCTCCACCCATGTATCAGTTAATAAAGCTGACTTATTATACAAGTGGGAATAGCTCCACAAAGAAAAGTTCCTGGTATTTTCCTTAATTAAACTCTAAACTGAAATACCTTATGAAAATAAAGCTATGCACAACATGCATTGTAACTAACACCAACTATATACACTTTGGGCGCATCTACACGTTGATGTATGGCGGTGTTGCTATGGCATCATGCTTTAGTACTTCTTTTTGGAAGTACTAAAGCACAGTGCAGTAAAGGGGATTAATGCACCATGTACATGGAGCACAGTTAGGTTTCACCGCTACATTGCTGTAGTAGCATGCTATAACTGGGGAGTGTGCCACTATGGCGATGTAGCTGGTGATCATGTGTGATTGCTACATCATTGTAGTGCACCATATGGTGATGTAGCATGTTACCATAAGGGAGACACAGCCTTTATTAACTAATGCCAACTATATACGTTTTAATACAGGACATTATAAAAAGGAGTTTACTGAAACTGAATGCTGTGATGCTGAGGTACCCCTCACATGCTTGGCAGTGGACCTGGAAGTGGACCAGAAGTACTTTTGGTCCACTTCTGGGTCCATCAGAGAGGTACGCAGGAGGACCCAGCCTCCCCCCACCCCCAGCTTGGCAATCAGCCACAGGGGGACCCTGGGTACCCCCCCAGGCCCAGGAGGCACCAGTTGCCAAGCTGGGGGAGGCATGGGGGGGCCCTCCTGCATGCTCCTCAGCAGAACTGGAAGTGGACTGGAAGTGCTTCTGGTCCATTTCTGGGTCCACTGCCAAGTGTGTTGGGGACTGCCCTGCACTCCTGTGGGATGCTCCATCTGCCCCAGTACCACAGCATTGACTAGCCGCCTGGTACCTTGAGGTATGTAGTAAAAACATTTAAAGCTATGTCTATATCTGAATCTCCAAATCTTTCTGAATCTCTCCGAATTGATTTGGAGGGTTCCAGTTTGATTTGGAGAGATTAAAGTGTCTCCTGATTCAATTCAGATTCAGCCACTGAATTGGGCCGAATCTCCACCAAATCAAATCAGTGACTGAAGCTTTGCACAGCCCTGCTGCATGTGCCAGATGTCATTTACTAGGGACAGAATGTGCATTTTGCAGGTGACAGTTGGGCTCCGGGAATGGCAAGAGATACACAGGTGAAGGCCTGCCACACCTCTGCACCCTGAAGTCCCCCAGTGACACCCAGCAACTGCAAAGGACCCCCACCTGACCCCCAGCAGAGCTGGAGGTAAGTGGGGCCCATGGTGGGAAGGACTAGCCAGCTGTGGCGAGACAGCTGAGAGGAGCCAAGGAGGGTCTCGCCCTGCCCCAGCTCCTACTTGGCCCAGCCCCCCAGGGAACCATGCAAACAGGATGCACAAACAGGTACACTTGTGATGATGTGGCTTGCAAAGCTAACCAAACTCTGGCATGCATCCACCGATGCATCTCAAGCAAAACCAGGGAAGTCATTCTTCCACTTTACTCAGCCCTGGTGAGACCACAGCTGGAGTACAGCGTCTAGTATTGGACCCCTGTTTCAGGAAGGATGTGTAGAAGCTTAAGAGAGTCCAGAGGAGAACCACTCATGATCCAAGGCCTAGAGGGAAGGCCATATGAGGAGAGGCTGAAGGACTTGGGACTCTTCAGTCTGGAGAAGAGAAGGCTCAGGGGGGACTTGGTGGTAGCCTACAATTACATATCAGGACCTGGGAGAACAGCTGTACACCAGAGCTGCACAAGGGATAACAAGGTCTAATGGCCATAAACTCCAGGAAGACCGATTTAAACTGACTGTAAGAAAAAATTTCTTCATGGTGCGTGTGTCCAGGGTCTGGAACAAACTTCCCCCAGAGGCGGTGTAAGCACTTGCTCTGGACTCCTTCAAAAAACAGGTGGATATATTTTTTGCTGGGACCACTTGATCCCGGCTGACTTCCCACCTATGGCAGGAAGGCTGGACCTGGTGATCTCTTGAGGTCCCTTCTAGCCCCAAATGTCTATGAAATCTATGAGCAGCATTGGGCAGCATTCCTTGGAGCACACTGAGGAAAGCCTTGCACATGTATATGGCATTGTCAGACAAGAATGCTGAGATCTTGTTAGTCTATGCCAGAGCTGACAACTACCTTCATAATGGGTTGAGACAAGGTAGAAGAATTGATAGATATAAGGTGGACTGGATCAGTTTGAAACACAGGCAGGTTCTGGTCTGTTCATTGTTCATTTCTTTGGTACAAATAAAATGTTCAGCATGTGGCTTCACCAGCCACAATGTGGAAGGAATGACACTCTGCCAAGGCAGCCTTTGTAGATTGTACATGCAAAGCAATCACTGCAGGGAGACAGTCTTGGTGAAGCTTCTTGGCACATGGAAAACTGCCAGCATTTGGCATGTTTTGATTCAGGTGGTCCCTTAACTTTGGGTGACCAAGTTTCTTCACCGAATGTTCACTGCTGTGAAAGCCCCTCGAGGGAAAATGTCACTTCTCACCTTGCCAAGCTGCTTTCTGTGGTTCTTTTAAAGAGGGAGGACATGTTCACTTGTTTCTTCCTCTGACCTTCAGCCTCTGCAACAGCTTTCCTCTTCACGTGTGCCTCAGACTCCAAGTGCCACTCTGTACTGGTTTTCCTGGGCACACCAGGGCACAGTGAGGTTGACACCCCTAGATTCCAATGAAGAGTCTGCTTCCATCTGCATGCAAGGTCCCTGCAGGATACGGTCTTGCCTGGTCCAGCGCTTAAAAGGGATTTGGCCATCTTGGAAGATTTCTTAGAGCTCATCCTGGCTCTTCCTCAGGCTGCAGCATGCACACTTCAGGAGCATGCCTGTGGGTGCTTTAAAAACCGGCAACAAAACTCTCCTGCTTCTCTGGCTGTGCCTAGACTGGCTCCTGGACTGAGCCTACATCAGCAGCTAAGCCTCTGATTTGCCCCCCTATCCTCTCTTCCCTCCCCCTGTGCTTTAGAACACATGGGCTTTCTGCCCTTTTCTGTTCTTGCAGCTTGCTTTTGCCTTTTTCCCCCTGCTCAGTAATTTCACACTTTTTCAGAGTCTGTGCTTTT